CTTATATTTGTGATATAAATGATTAAGGCGACGCTAGATATTAATAATGTTAACCAAAAGGGTTTAATATTTTTGTACAATACAAATAAAATAAAAGGCAAACAAAGACACAAAGAAAAATTTATTCTTTTCAAGAACTGTCTAATTAAAGTTCGAGTCCATCTAAAAAAATATATTGCAACGCCATCTAGCGAAGACAACCCAAACTACGTAGTATCTATAATTTCCGCATCGCGCAATTAAAAGTTCTTGCGTTTGTTAATAGAGATCGGATCGGAGTTGAGTTGTTTCAATGTCTTAGTAATTTTATAGGTTTTCAGAGACACTATTTTCTTCTGTTACTTCTCATTAAATATGTTAATAGTACTAAATAACATACAGTAATACAATATAAATTATTACAGTAACAAATAAATACATACTAACAATTGCATTTAAACTTATAATATATATGTACATCTTATATACTAAAATGCGTAAGATTAACAAATATAGTGACGACATTTCAAGATCTCCTCTTAAAAAGAGAAATAAGAGAAGTAGCCCACGACGCTGCATCTACAGCCCTGTCCTTTAATATATTGCTCGTCTAAATCGTAACTCAAAATGGAGGTTTTATTTTAAGAAAAAATCTTTTTCATTATTTGGAATAAATAGTGTCGTAATATTCAATTATAACGAGTTCATTATAAATTAGAATAAACATCAGTACCGGCCTGTTTAGATACAGGCCTTGCCAGACATGGCCGCACAGCCTTACAGGCCTGGCCTTAAACCATACGTGTTAAAAGCAGCATCACATCACTGACTTTTATCTTTTAAAGTGATCACCACAATCATTATTTAATTTGCCACCCTTAGCGGTGGTATTATTTCTTCAAATTTGAATGGGACCAAAACAAGAATTATACCGATGCAAATAAACAAACAATTGTTCAAATCGGCTTGGAACTGACGGAGTTTTGAAGGCCAATTCTCGTAATAAAAGATCGGCCAAAATTCTGTTCCGATCAACTGTCATAAAAGGTATTTTCGTAGTAAAATATTAAAGTATTACTAAGACTAGTAAGGGAGCAAACTAAGCAGGATAACAGCACTGCAAAAAGAAGTAAAACTTGAAACAAACCCTATACCAACCCGTCTGACCAGCGTGGTATAGTAGGTCAAAACCTCCTTTCTAAGGAGAGGCCTATGTCCAGCAGTGGACTAGTATAGGCTGTTGATGTGTGTGATGTGAAGACTAGTAGATTACTGATTCAATTTTTGGTAACAATACGATATAATCACATTGCAGTCAACGTTTGATGTTTAATACTTTACCACTAAGATCTCTTTTATGACAATTGTGAGATCGAGAGTTGGTCAGAACAGAATTGTGACCGAACTTTTATGACGAGAATTGGCCTTCTGAGGTAACAAATATTAAAAAATATACAACGGAAATTTTAAAAAGACTCATCACGACTGGTCTTCTCCAAACTGCTATCTTTCAAGTATGGTAGTAACTTTGTATAGATCATATTTTAGAACAATTTGTTACATTGTTCAGTCCAGTTTGAATCCCCTTACCGTTTAGGGCGCCCGGAAACCCCTCTTATTAGGTTTGGACTGAGCATGAATAAAGACCAATTCTCGTAATAAAAATTCTTTCAAAATTCAGTTTTGATCTCACAAATGTCATAACAGGTATTCTTGTAGTAAAGTATTACTAAGACTAGCAGAATACCGATTCAACTTACGGTTACAATACGATTGTTGGATGTTTAATACTTACGAGAATATCTTTTATGATATTCATGAGATCGATAATAGATTGGAACTGAATTGTGATCAATTTTTTTTTTAGGAGATTTGCTCTTTTGATAAATTATTTGTACATTTTGCACCTCCTTGGGAAATTTAAAAAACCTACCTAGATTTTAGACGCATACATTTCACAACGGTACACCGCCATTTTTATCCTGAGTGCCGTTTTATAATATTATAAAATAGATAATTTACGTATTACTATTTTATAGTTTTTTTTTGTGTTATATTTATTATCGTTTCGATTTGTGTTATATACACTATTATAAATGTTGTATTGTAAAATATAAATACATTTTTTTTAAGTATTATAATGTATTACAGAAAAGTGTGCACGTATTTTTGGACCAGTTATTTATAAAAAAAAAACAATGAAAAAATCTTCGAATATTTTTTTCTGATATATATATACACTTCATAATAATCTTTTTACTCAACTTTCATGATTTTGTCTATTTATTACACTTTCGCATAAATTCAAGTACTAATAACAATACATTAGTTCATGCCAGTTTCCTCTCTTGCGAAACTATACCATTTTATACTTAAATTAGTATTCTTTATGGTTTGTAGGCAAACAAGGAGACCGGATCACTTTATAGTAAGTGACTACACACAGTCACAAGTGCTTTGACCCTCTCCCCCCCTCCAGCATGAAAGGGAGGGAAGTTTAGGTTCCAGTAACCCACAGTCGGTGAGCAACTAAGGTACTGCTTAACACAGGTTTTCTGTGAGCCATCCCTTATGAGCCGAAGCATTGCTTTTTTTTTTTTTTAAATGACAACTCCCGCAATAGGAATACATTCCTGTGTCGCGGGGGACTTTACAAACATATATAAAACGGACACAAAGAACACCCAGACTCAGAACAACAATTTGTGGATCACACAAGTGTCGTTCCATGTGGGGTTTGAACCCACAACACTCGGCCAAGTAGGAAGCGGCGTGGCGACCGCTTAAACCACTACGCCATCCGTGCATTACTCTCCCATGGAAGAATCTTTAAAAGAAATTCCAAAATTATATTTATATACCAACTTTTTGCCCGCGACTTCGTCCGCGTGGTTGTCATTATTTTTGATAGAGAATATGATTATACTGAGTTTGGAATACACATAGTTCCCCATACCAACTTGCACCACTTTTTAAGGGTAGTTTTGAAAAATTATCAACAATGTTTTTGATTTTTGTGTGAGTTTGATAATGCTACTACCAAAAAAAAACGAAGTTTCATATAGATTTCCAACCCCCATTTTGCACCCTTAGAGATGGAATTTTTAAAAATCTTTTCTTAGTGCACACCTAGGTGACCTAAGGTACATTTGTGCAAAATTTGATGCTTCTAGACCCAGCGGTCACAGCTGTGCGTTGATCTATCAGTCAGTGAATCAGTCTATCAATTTCTTCTTTTACAGACACTAACTTTTAAACTTTCGCGTTCCATGATAATTAATATTATTTAACGGGAATTAACGCGATCTCTTATTTTTCTTATTATCCAAAGGTATGTAATACCCTAAATAAGAGATCGCGTTAATTCCCGTTAAATAATATTAATTCTTCTTTTACAGACAGTTTCAAACTCACAAATTTTCTTAAATTTCTACTGTCTATTATTGACGGGGTCGACTAGACGACCTCAGAATATCCACACTCTTCTGTAACACATTGTACATCATGGAATTGTTTTGATATATAATTTATACATATACAGTATTCTTTAGACACTTTTATACACTTTATTCACAACTAATATTGCACTTTTATCACTAATTATGCCATCTTGTTCCGCTCGCAACAACTTTTTTTCCATATTCATTGGAATAAAGTTTGATTTCGCATAATTTTACTTTTCTTCATCATCATTTCGCATAACGTTTACAACTCAAAGTAGGTATTACTAATTTATTTGTTATAAAACTGATTTACTATATATTTTTAAGTTGTTTGTAGATTTTTAACAATGATTTCAATATAAACTGAGATTTTTTTTTTGTTAGGGTTTAAATTGTTCTAAAAACCACATACAGCGGATGCAAAAGGAATGCTTACACATACCAAAGAATAAAAATAGAAATGCGAATAATAGCATAAAACATAAGGTCTCAATTTGCCTAGTCGCATAATTTTATTTAGTTCACCGAATGGATTAACGTCTTGAAATTTTAAAGTTATGCCAAATAAAATTTATAAAAAGAGCGAGAATTCCAATAGTCGCATACGATGTGTAACAACTGACATCTCACCTAACATTTGACGGACAACCCTATTCTCTACTCTCATTGGTCAATTCAAATAGCTTCCTGTTACACATTTCCGTCCCTTTTCACGAAATCATGCTCACAGATTGCAGGAAAGCGAGAGGATTTTGCAACATCAAAAATCTATTTCTTTATGACAGCTGTCAAATTCAAATTGAAAGCTGTCAAACTATACAAATATTAAGTCTGTTTTATACAGAAGGTAATCGACCGAATTGTCCATCTGTTTAATTCTTATGATCTTTGGGAAAGCACATTAAAAGTTTAAATGCTCTATTTAATATTAAAAAAAACAACCGCCTATGAAATATTTTGTAGCCAATTAGATTCAGAGGTATTTTTTAATTACAGTCAAATTTTTGTTGTTAAAAATGTACATGCAGGTGAATGTACCCACAATATGTCTGACCAGTTTAGAATCCGACGAAAGTACATAGAAACGGGACAGGTGGCACCACCTCTTGATAAAGGACGCCCTTCGATCCCGAAGCTATACACACATCTTTCAAATACCCACAGGTACTTTTAATTATAGTTTTTTTTTATTAAAAAAAAACAGTATTGGATTTTTCTGATAAAGAAATTATGATTACCGACAAAAATGGCTTTAATTCCCGGCAGTTTATTTTTATGGGTTCCAAGACTTCCCATGGGACGAACCGAGTGTAATGCTCGGTGTTTTAGCGTGTTACTGCTGGTGATCCTGGTGAACAGGAAACAGCAGTAGGAATGTGGGTGGGATTAGTCAGTCACAGTTTTAGGACCAAAAAATGAACGTGACTACTTCTTCCGAGGATACATCGGCTTCCGAGTCACATTCAAACAGTTAACTTAGCTAACAAAATATACAACTTAAAGTAAAAATACACAGCATAGTGGGTCCCGCAGACTCAACACTTCCTATAATATAATATTCAAATAATTATCTACAATTCAAACTGTTAAACTAGTAATTAACTGTTCACACAATTTCCCATACTCCCTCTGGTCCCCAGATATTCTTCTCATCTTCAAACCTTTCTTCTCCATCGCTTTATTCTCACACAGAACCATCTCAATCTGAATTCCACCGGAATACTCCAAATTCAGGTACCCTGTTAGCGTTCCATCCCCTCCATCCTTCTGGTCAGTCTCCACGAAGATATTTTGGGGAGGAACCCTAGTATTTATGGCTTCTTTTAGCAATTCCACTATTCTTTGAGAATCTAATTTCGAGCAAACGGTAGATAACGTCACCTCGTAATATTCTTGAACGCAAGACACCTTCTGAGGACTTAAAAGTATTGGTATCTTCTGCTCTTCTGGTCTACATATTTCTGTCAGCCTCAAGTCCATGGTAGACCTCTGCAGTTTTTCTATATCTGCACTCGCCGGAGTACCTTCCTCATCACATTTCTGTAAACAATGCCTGCTGTTATCCTTCGACATGTACACGTCTTCATAATACTCTTTGACTTCTCCTAAAACTCCTTGGGCTGAGAATGAAGATCTAGGAGTTTCTCCTTTCTCAGAGAAGGATCCTCTACCGAAGTCACTTTTCTCTGAGAAAGACGATCTGCCGAAGTCTCCCCGCTCGGAGAAACTCCCTCTATCAGAGAAGGAGAAGGATTCTCTGTGTTCAGAGAAGCTTCCTCTGTTCTCGCTGAACCCCGAGCTAATGGAGACAATGTTGGAGTATATTGACTGAATGTTTTGCTCGCAGTTCGGTGATACATTCGCTGAGTCATTACTCAAGGAATCATCGCTGAATCCTAGGCTTTTGTCACTTCCTCTTCTAGGATACTTCAACTCCTCACTCAAGAACTTAGCGGTTTCATCTATAGATTCCTTTGGAGATTGCATATCAGCATCCTTATCGATATTCGGCTCTGGTTCTTTAGGTTCAGGCGGTTCAGTCTCCTGGCTGACCTTTCTGCCTATACCTTTGGTAATCGAAGGTCTGTCATCGAGGTCTGATGGTTCAGAGATGACAAACTGAGGTAATGAATATTTTGTGTTCTCTAGACTGTCCATGCTATCTTCGCTCGAGGATGCTACTAGGGTAATCTCTGACCCCAGACAATCTGTTAGACTGATCTGAGGATGGGTGGGAGCGAAACTAGGAGCAAACCTCATTTCTGGAAATGATTTATCAATATTATGATTCCCATTTCCTATTTCTTCCTGTATCATGTCTAGGGGAGAACCTGGGTTTGATATTGGAGAGTTATTTAAAGATCTGTGGGCCACCATGTGGAGTTGGGAATGAACTGGAGGGTGTAACTGCTGATACTGGCCTGTGTCCATGTCGATATTCGACCTTAAGTCTAAGGGGGTGGCTGATGCCTGAGGGGTCCCTCTTGTTATAGAGCCCGTGTGGAGATAGCTGAGGCCTTCCGTAATCTGGTGGAGAGGAGATCCTGGGCTTGCGGGGGAAGTATGACCAGATAGTAAGAAGTTGTAGCCATGGATGGATTTAAGTATTTCTTGGGATATGTTCACGTGTGGAGAGTACATTGCGTGGAGGTTGATACCGATTTTTAAGGCGAGGTCCTGTGAAAGAAAGGTTTTAAATCATTAAAAGAAACGTCATTCTCTTGTCACGCTCACAGTACAATAGGATGAACATTTACCTGGGTTAACAACAAAGTTCTATGGACCTCGTTGGCTGCTGGATCTTGAGTCAAATTTCTAACAGCGGCCAGAACCGCCAGAGCTGCTTCTGCCGATATCGTATTCAGATCCAGCGGAGCAGGTGGACCAACACACGAATGTATGGGAGACCCTAAAGAAGAGGACAGAAGATCCGCATTAGGAATATATCCTGTGTCACGGGGGACTTTACAAACATACATGAAACGGACACAAAGAACACCCAGACTCAGAACGACAATTTGTGGATCACACAAAGTGTCGTACCATGTGGGGATCGAACCCACAACACTCTGCATAGTAGAAAGCGGCATGGCAACCGCTTAATTCCACTACGCCATCCGTGCACTCTTACTTGTTTATTTGAAGTGTTGTAAAGCTCGTTAATTACCTGATTTTGATGTGATTGTGTATAACTTTATGAGATTTTAAGTATTTTAATTGCATTGCTATGTTTTTGGGTGTCTTTCTTTGTGTATTTAGGCGGGGGTGGCTGTGTGTGTAATTAGGTAGATATTCAGCCAAAATTGTGTGTTTAGATTTTGGTGTAGTAATGTGTGTGTGAGGTTGTGTGTGGTTGATGGCGATTATTGAGATTTAGTGTATCAAGGAGTAGGGCTCACCGGGCATGGAGGTGGCGGGCGTGTGCCGGAGGTCGGCGTGGGGCGGGGACGCGCCCGGCCCGCCGCAGCGTCTTTCGAGGTCGCGCTGGGGACAATGTTTTACGTTACTCTCACTGTTGTCTAAGAACTACGCCTCGGCACATATGGGCCAGATCTACTACGGCCTCAGAGAAAACCGCTGTTTTGAATTTATTTTGATGTTTTTTATCCTATAAGATACCGGAGGCATAACTCCTTGGGTTCGTAATTTACCATCTGAGAGCCCAGGGGGATTTGACATCAACTCGCTCTCGACAGCGAGAGCATTCGGTGTTGCGATTAGTTAAGATTTAAGCGCTGGCCCACCGCAGCGTCAAACGCGGTCACCGTGATGTGAAATAAATTGACACTTCGGCTCGTTTGCCCATACCAAAAAAAAAAAGTTAGTATTACCTATAAGAATGTGGGGGAACAGGTCCCCCCAACACAAAAAGAGGATACTCCGACCAGAATTGGTCTACTGTGCTGACGCTTGATGTTTTGAACTTGTAAATACACGAATTGGTGACAGAAATTTAATTACGCGATGCAGGATCAGTTATACTTACTTGTAACTGTTCATATTCTAATCTAGCCGATGCTATGTCGTGCGTGACTCTTGGTGGAGAGCATTCAGCTCGCCGAACCGGGGAGTATCTCTCAGCATGCTCCCGCGCTGAAATACCATTAAACAGTTTTTATAAAGTTTTATCGTTGACTAATAATCTAGCGGTTAGTGAAGGTTTACTGCTGAGTCAGATCCCTAAGACAGGTTGTGGTTTCAGTTCCCACCTCCGACAATTAATTGAGGGATTAGCACAATCATTTGTTCTGTGTCTGGGTATAGTTTATCTATAATTTAGTAATATATAAGTATGTTTATCAGTAGTCTGGTTACCATAGCACAGGCTCTGACTATAGTTAAACCGCCGTAAGCTTGGCACTCTTGATGGTTTGCGGGACGCGGGGCGGGTGATACGCTCGGCTATACATGACACGATGTACTAACTCGATATCTTCAGATTTATTTGTTTGAGATTTAATCTACACACGATGTAATAAAAATCGAATTTATTTCCATTTATTATAATGTCTGTCTATTTAGTATAATGTTTCTTATAGTGTATTGTAAGTTTTTATGATTAATTGTAAAATTTAATACTGTAAAATAATTTTAATAAAATCACCTTATCTTCATCATGTAAATTATATTCAGATACAATTTAAAAATTAAGTAAAATAATAAATATTCTTTATTAGAACTTTAACAGTAGAAGCCACTTTGTAAGCCGAACTTCAAGTTTTTATATCTTTTTGTGACGCAGAGTCGGCAGATTATCCATGTTGCAAAATAATACCGTGTGTAGCAGTCTTAAGAAAAATAACACGTACAGCCATGCTTTCACGTCAGTCACTGCCGGCGGACAGCGACGCACTAGCTAATTGGTTGAATGCACCCCCGCCCCGCGTCCACCAAACCATCAGGAGGGCCAAGCTTACGGCGGTTTAACTATAGTTAAAGGATTAGACGGCCTTGTATAAGATGTCTCAAGTTATAAATATTTCTTTTTTTTAAATAAGTAGACCACCAACATCGAGTACAGAGGCAAGACACCGGTGGCCAGGGTTCCAAAGACAGGAACCTCCACACTATAGGGAATGGTGAAGAACTATCTTTTATTATGATTACAATTAAAAAAATATTTTAGTTAAAAAAAGGAAGTTTAATTTGAAGGAACTAAAAATCAAAGTACAATTAAATTATAAAACACACACTATTTAAACCTAATCACACAGATACGAAATATTCTACAACATAAAACACACACATACTTACACAAAAATATTAAACATACACACTAACAAACACACACATGCAATACTTAAATATTAAAAACAAATTACCTTTAGAATTCTTCCTGTAAAAAAAAACAATATTCATCTATTGGTGCTATTAATTTTTTTAGATGGACCTATGGGTCCAGTGGTTAGTGACCCTGATTGCTAACCCGATTCCCACCCAGGACAAATATTGTGTAATGAGCATAATCATTTATTCTGTGTCTGGGTGTACTTTATCTATAATATGCATGTATTTAGAAATATATAAGTAGGTTTATCAGCAGTCTGTTTACCATAGCACAGGCTCCGCCTAGTTTAAGATCAGACTGCCGTGTGTGAGATGTGTGAAAATATTATTATTATCATTATTTTTTGCATTAAATAAGGGTCTAGTTATAACTTAAAATCAGTTTCGAAACAGGGTTTCGTACAGTTAACAAACACACACTAACTTAGACTGAAATTCGACGCCGTGGGAAAGCTGTACGCCAGGCTGTTAGAGAAAAGCTCTGCAGTATATTGGTCTCCATACTTCCTAGGATAACTTCCTACAGGATTTTGAAATTCACAAGATTCTACACATTTAAATCAAAATCATTTAATTTTAACCAATTACATTTGCCTTTGGCTTGTCAGGGGCGGTAGCCAGGCCGTATTGTTTAATGGGGGGGGGGGGGGGGGGAGGGGAGGCATGATGGTAAGCTACTAGGAAGGTCCATGTTCACTTGCAACTCAAGAGCGCTGGCACCTAAGTGTGTCCCCACCCCCCTCCAGAATTATAGGGTAAGGCAGTGGTAAGCTCGCTCACTCGATGAAAATCAAAGAAATAATTGCTCTTGTTGAACTGGCTGATACGTGCCGAATCTTGGCTTTCCCACGTTAATCATATATGTAAAAAACTAAATCTAATTTAAGACTACACTAAGGCCTTATAAATACCCTGTCACCCAAAAAATATGAGAAGAAACCTACCCATTTCTTGCACCGTGGCCAACATTTGTAATTTAACTCGCTGCGGGCCGGAATATTTCCTCTGCCTATTGCTGTATTGTGTGTTGTTGTATGTAGAACCTAAAGACGCTGGACCCTGTACTGGAGTACCAGCTGTTATGGAACCACCGAGCACGGGACCGCTTTGGTTTGTAAAGCTATTTTGGTTCATAATGGTATTTGAGTAATTACCCTGGTTTATTTGGGTATTTGTGTAATTACCCTGACTCATTTGGCTATTTGGGTAATTACCCTGATTCATTTGGGTAGAGAAATTGCTTTGATCCATTTGGTTATTTGAAAAATTACCCTGTTTCATTGAGGTATTAGAGAATGGAGCCTGGTTCAGAGAGGGGTTTGATATACTACCTTGATTTATTGGGTTATTGGAGAAAGAAGATTGGTTTATATGAGTATTTGAAAAATTCGCCTGGTTAGAAATGCCTTGGTCCATTGAAGGATTAGAAATAGAAAAACTACCTTGGTTCATGTGAATGTTTGAAAAGTTAACCTGAGTTATAGGGGTTTGCGAGACATTACCCTGATTCATAGCTGTATTTTGGAAATTACCCTGGTTCATGTGGGTATTTTGATAAGAACCTTGACTCATTGGTGTACCGCTTGGCAGGAAGCCGAGGTTCGAGCCAAAACTGTTGTAATTATTGGCAAAATTTTTGGATTCGTAGCCAGTTGGTGTCATGGGAGTACCGGATACAATAGAACCTTGGTTTTGGTTGATTGGGGTACCGCTAGTGATTGACCCGGATATTATATTTTGGGTTACCACGGTGCCGTGACTTGGGGAAAATTGGCCCATGGCCGTAGGGGTATATGGACTAGCAGCTTGTGTTGTCATAGGGGTACCAGACATAATGGAACCTTTAGTTCCCATGATACTACCTTGGGGTATAGTTTCTAGAACAGGTTTCATGGACTTTTGTGTGGTTTGATTCTGGGCTGAATAGTTTGGAGTACCAGCAGTAATGGACCCTTGGGTCGGAGACTGTGGTATCTGGTTGGGTATTGATCCAGTTGGGGTTGGGGGACTTTGGTATTGCATCGAAGGTGGCAGATAGTTCCTCTTCATTCGTTTTTCAACCTCCATTACTAACTCTGGACTAATAACTAAAAAAATAAGTAAAGAAAAACAAATGGTAAAAAAAATAACAAAAACAAAATAATAGCAAAAAAATAAATGCATTTTAGCGACCATGCTACGACATCTACTGAATTTAAAAAAAAATGTAACAAAAATAATATTGGGATTTTTAACGCCTTTTACTAAATACCTAACATTTGTAAAAGGCAGAATTATGCAAAGAATTTTCTCAGTTTTTTTTTAAAGCCAATAAAATTGTAAACAGAATGAGTGGCCAAAGATTGTAACACTCTTAAAATGTGCATAAAAATTTAAACTTAATCTCATTGAAATAGAACTGAGAATCGAATGCAAGAAGTATAACCTAGTCTGATACAAGATTTTCAAGTCAGTTAATATTTCTAAAGTGCCAAACGGTGGTATAATAGAGAACAAACGAGCAGACGCGTCACCTGGTGGTAAGTGAACACCACCTATGAAGAATAAGTTAACATCGGTACCATAAATAAACCATCTTTGTACCCTGGCATGTTGCCATGTCGTTATAACATTTTGCCACTCAATCTGAGTTGACTCTAATTTATTGAAATTTAGACGATAGATGAACTCATATATTAATAACTACTTTCAAATGTATTCGAAGAGCTTTAAAAATCCCAATCCAAAGAAAACATTATTTTCAGTATACAATAAACCAGAAACAATTTAAACTTTTTAAAATATTTTTATAACCAGGAGTGTGGTGACAGGTTTAGGATACGAAGTGTCATCACCCCTATTCATCCCGTGGGTGTCGTAAAAGCCGATTAAGGGAGCAAACTACCAAGACAACAGCACTGCAAAGAGAAGGAAAACTTGACACAAACAATATACCGACCCGTCTGGCCAGCGTGGTATAGTAGGCCAAAACCTCCTTTCTGAGGAAAGGCCTATGTCCAGCAGTGGACTACTAAAGGCTGTTAATGTGATGATGTGACACATTTTTTATGGTTTTTAACATAAATCAGTTTAAATCTGTATGCAAACATAGGTTACTTTATCATTCATATTTTGTTGGGTTATAATACAGTTTTTATTTGTGCTGATCTAAATTTATGCAAGCATAGTGATAATTCTTCTGTCTAGGTAGTACATGTATATTAGAAAATTTATCCAAAGTTTAGTCTGGCCAGCGTGGTATAGAAGGCCAAAACCTCCTTTCTGAGGAAAGGCCTATGTCCAGTAGTGGACTGTTAAAGGCTGTTGTAATGTTGATATTATAACTAATATTTACAATGTTATTATAGGTAAGTAGCCATTATTTCAAACAAGAACAGAGAACAAGAAGAGAGAAACAGACTTGAGAATCAAATTTAAAAAAAATACATGAATAAAGTTCCCAGTCTATGGTATACTGTAAATAATTTAGTATTTAAAAAAGCGGGCACAACAAGGCTTAACATTTAGAGTCCAATCTCTACACTAATTAGTTCAACGTGGGCACAAACCTGGCGGTCTTTCCGTCACCGTGAGAAGACCTGTTCGTCTCACTCTGATGCTGCTGGTAGAAGATGGTGATGTACTGGGCTGTTGGTGGGAAAAAAGAACTAGAATTAGGATATCAATATATATTATAAAGACCCAGGTTTCGCAGCTGCGTCTCTATTTCTGCCTGTCTGTATGATCAACATAAACTTCAAAAGTACTGAACGATTTTTCATGTGGTTTTGTCCAATAAATAGAACCAATAGGCAAGTTCGTCTAGTGGTTAGAGATCCTGACTGCTAAGCCAGAGGTCGTGGGTTTGATTCCCACCCAGGACAAATATTGTGTGATGAGCACGGTCATTTGTTCTGTGTCTGGGTGTAATTTATCTATAATATGTATGTGTTCAGAAATATATAAGTATGTTTATCAGCAGTCTGGTTACCATAGTACAGGCTCTGACTAGGTTGAGATCAGACGGCTGTGTGTGACATGTGTAAACATTTTTTTTTATGCTTCTATATCCATGCAAGGCTAGGATGCATTAAGTAACATTAAAAATATGCAAATTCGTGTTTTTTTTATTTACAATCAAATTTTGAACATAATGTTCACTCACATCGCCAGAAGATATAACAACTCGATAGAAAGACTATCTGTAGGTATATTTTACTGAAAGTAATTAACACTGTACGATCTAAATTGCACTTTATTGTGAAGGTACTAGAGTCGCTATTTATTTAAATGATTTTTACTCCGTGGTACTTCTGTACTTGTACCATTATGTCTCGTCGAAAGTATCTATACCAATATCTATAAGTGTGAAAGTTTGGATGGATAGATGTTTGTTACACGATAACGCCAGAACGGGTGAACTAAATTTGATGAAATTTGATACAACGATAGATTTTACTCGGGATAGGATACAAATTACGTAGAACAACAGCACTGCAAAGAGAGGGAAAACTTGAAACAAACCCTATATCAACTCGTCTGGCCAGCGTGGTATAGTAGGTCAAAACCTCCTTTCTAAGGAGAGGCCTATGTCCAACAGTGGACTATTAAAGGATGTTGATGATGAGGATACTTTTTATACCGCGGATATAAGTTAGTGACTAGTGTTCCTATTAAATATCTAACTAAGTTTGTTTTATGAGTACATCAGCGTTGCATCATATAAGGATCGAACCTGCAATCAAGGTAGGTGTATACTGACCATGGTCCCAGAGTTGCAGACAGAGGAGACGTTGGCGGCATCCTCAGGCGTGGCCATAGTGTGACGCTTGCTGCTCCCACGGGTCAGCATGTACCTGCCGAGTGTTGTATCAGACCGTGGGACTGACAACCACTCTCCCCTACTTACTAGGGGAGGATGGGGTCAGCCAGGGTGTAAGTACGTATAAAAATAAAGATCAATGAGGTAAATTGTAATAAACTGCATCATACATATAAACTTATCAGTGAAACAGTTCTTTATTGACAGGGCTTCTAATAGTTAGTGACGACTGACTCCAAGTAGGTTCGATTCCCATAAATGAGTTTGTTCTCATAAGGCTTAACCCCTTGGAAACGGGCGGTTGTAGATCGGCACAGGCATATCATAGATTTTGTATGGGTTTGATTTTAGTTAAATTTATTTGCTTACTATTTGACAAAACAGAGATTGTTGCTTTTGTGTGTGTTGGTCTATGACTTTAGAGTCTACATAAAAGACGATTTCAAACATATTTTTTTTATGAAATAGAGTTTGAGTTTGATCCTTTTGATTTGACTGTAACTCCTGTACACCAGGATCCACAGCAGTGACCCACGAACACACCGAGTTATGACACTCGGGAAGTCCCAGGAAGAAATTAAACTGTCTTGGAACCCGCAACGAAATTAATCAGAAGAAAATTGGAGGAGTTTGAAATACAGTAAATCCACTTCCCTCCTTAGCAAAGCGGGAGACAAAATGAAGTAAAATGGGCATACGCCCTTTTAAACAGGGAAGCACCACGGCCACAAATATTACGGGTCCTACGTGAGCTATATTTGATTTCTATAATATGTATGGCAGAATCACTTAAACGCACGGAAATTCACCCTAATTGACACAAGATCCCCATAGTATACCGATATATTTATACATGAAATGATATGTCCTCACCTGCACAAGTTATTGTTGTATGCAGAATCGGTGGTCTGTTCCTCGCTCTGGTCGGCGTTCTCGGCCCTCGCAGGAGTCCCGCTATCTGACACCTAAGGAATTATAAGGCACTATGAAAATACACCTTTATAATAAAAAGAAATATGGAATAGGGGGCAAACGAGCAGATACCTGATGGAAAGCGACTACCGCCGCCCATGAACGCCTGCAATTTAGGAGTCACAAGCCAAAGGAGTGATATTTATAATCTAACACACAACGCCATCTAGTTTCAAACTAAGCAGAGCTTGTACTATGAAAACTAGATTGACTGATAGAATACTTATATACTTTTTATTTGTAAATACATACATATTATACATAGAAAACCCGAACTCCTAAACAAATATTTGTAGATCATAAAAACATTTAGTTCGTCCCGGGGTTCGGTGCAGTGGTCGCATATGCTACCACTGCACCAGTGAGGCAGTTATACGCTCTTTTCTAAACCTATTACAATATACGTACAAAAATGAAACAAACTACGCAGGACAACAGCACTGCAAACAAAAGGAAAACTTGACACAAACCTTTTTTTTTTTTTTTTTAACGTGTGGAAATCCCCTCGGACCGTCACCCCTCCGGGGTTTGCGGCGGGGTGGTGTGTCGGACTCGGACCGACTAAAACCACACGGTGTGCCACTCTGCGCCTGTAACAGGAGGGATCCGGGAACAGCTGTTGTTAAGACATCCGGACCCCTCCTAGCGCCAGCCCGCTCCTGGTGCGGGCTCCGTCTCAATGTATTTTCCTCTCTTTAGGCGACGTCCGGCACACGCGGACGCCGCCCCCTCGCGGCTGGCCAAACTAATGCGGGTGGAGGGGAAACCCGCCCCGTCCACCCGCGGCCACACTCAGGGCGGCATGAGGCTGTGATAGGCGGGCCTCCGCCGCCCGGTTCGCCGGCGGCGGATCGGGTCCGAGTGGAGGTCGTCCTCCCGGGCCCTCTCCGCCGCCTCCTTCCGCGAGATTACTACCTCGCAGAAGGTTGCGACCGCGGTAAAACAAAACAACTGTCGCTACCGGCCATGGAGCGTACTACGGCCGGTAGCGAGAGATCCACTCCGATGACTGCAGTGAGGGCCCGGCGCTGCGCCGCCCATGCGGGGCAGACCGCCAGCGTGTGCTGGGCCGAGTCCTCACTGCAGTCGCAGTGGTGGCAGGCGGGACTCAGTTCCCTCCTAGCGACCGTGTGCAGGTACTTTCCGAAGCAACCGTGCCCGGAAAGCACCTGCGTCAGCCGGAAGGAAAGGGTCCCGTGCTGCCGCCCTGCCCACTCGGCGATGACCGGCTGGAGAGCCTCCACGGCGGCGAAGCCAGCGCGTGGAGTCTCCAGCCGGAACGACCAACGAGCCATCGTGGCTCGGCGAGCGGCTTCGCGCCACTCGCGCACATCCTCGGGCGGAGGGCGAAATCCGCTCTCCGCCCGGGAGTCAGCCACTCGCCGATAAACTTCGGCGAGCACTTCCGCCTCCAAATCCCACGGGGGAGTTCCGGCCAACGCGCATGCCACCTCCGTAGAAACGGTGCGGTAACCGCGTATGGCTCTGACCGCCATTACCCTCTGAGGGCGCCAGAGGCGTACCCTATTCTGGGCGGTCAGAGCCGCCGCCCACACCGGTGCACCGTACAGCGCCATTGACCGGACAACCCCCGTGTACAGCCGTCTTGTCGCGACGCTGGGTCCACCCATATTGGGCAAGAGTCGCCCTAGGGCAGACGCAGCGCCGACCAGCTTTGGGGCAAGCTGTCGGAAGTGCTCGTCGAAGAGCCACCTCCCGTCGAGGATCAGGTCCAGATATTTCATCTGGGCCCGAACCGGTACGAGGACCGAGTTGACCACGATTGAGGCGCCAGGGGGTGGACCACGACGGGGCCCATGAAATAACAGGGCCTCCGTCTTATCTAGGGCCACCCGTAAGCCCAGCGCCTCAATGCGCCCGACCACCAGGGAGACTCCCCCTGTGGCCAGGCGCGTCGCCTCTTGAAAGTTTGCCCCCCGGGCTGTCACCAGGGTATCGTCTGCGTAACAGATTACACCCAGCCCGGGGGGGAAATCGGCGCGAAGGGCCCAGTCGTACCCTATGTTCCACAAGAGGGGTCCAAGAACAGACCCCTGTGGAACACCGCACGACATGGGCCGACACCTCAAATTACCTTCTCGGTCCTCGTACACGACGGTACGCTCCTCTAAATAGTCTGCCACTAGCCGCCTCAGGTACTTTGGCACCCCATGATAGTGGAGTGCTTCCCTGATGCAGCTGAATGGCAGACTATTGAATGCGTTGGCGATGTCTAATGACACCGCCAACAGCACGCCGCCACAGCTCACGGCCTCTTCGGTCACGGCCCTCAGGCGCAACACGGCGTCGACTGTCGAACGCCCCGCCCGAAAACCAAATTGGGCGTCCGACAGATCGGGGCCCACCTCGCAGAGGTGCCGGACGATGCGGGCAGAAAGAACCCTCTCAAACAATTTGCCCGCCTCGTCCAGCAGCACGATGGGCCTATAGGCCGCGACCGAATCGGCAGGCCGTCCCGGCTTCCTCAATAGGACCAGCTTCCCGCTCTTCCAGCACTCAGGGAAGCGTCCCGACGCCAAGCTAGCGTCGAACACCTCCCCGAGGCGGTCTGCCATGTGGTTGAGGGCCAGGGCCAGCACTCGGGCCGGTACCCCGTCAGGCCCACGGGCGGTGTTCTTGGAACGGATCCGTAGAACAGCCGCCCCTACCTCCGAATCCCGGACGGGCGGAACATTATCCTCCCCGTGCTCCCCGTCGTCTCCGGCCAGGGAGGCCATCGACGGGGGAGTGTGTTCCGCCCGTTGTGGGAAAAGGCCCTCAACCACTTCTCGCAGGAAGCTGGGCTGGAGAGTCTCCGTAAGGGGGGGGCCCGACGCGCGGAGCTTTTGTCGCACCGCGCGGTAAGGGCGACCCCAGGGGTCACGATTAAGACCCTCCAGCATCTCCTGTCTCTTTTCTTCTTTGGCGCGGCTAATGGCCAGCTTCAGAGTTTTCCGCGCCCGTCGGTACTCCTCATGAAGCCGGTCCTCCTCGCCGTCTCCACGGTGACGCCGCCGACTGCGCGTGTAGGACCTCCGGGCACGTGTACAGGCCGCACGGAGGTCCGCCAGCTCCTGGGACACAAACCCTATACCAACCTGTCTGGCCAACGTGGTATAGTAGGCCAAAACCTCCTTTCTGAGGAGAGGCTTATGTCCAGCAGTGGACCATAAAGGCTGTTGATAATGAAGAAAAATGGTATGTTCATCGATCATCATTATTCGATTGGCCTGTTGGTTAGCAATACTGACTGGCTAAGCCAGAGGTCGTGGGTTCGATTTCTACCCAGGAGAAAGAATAATAAATATGTAATGAGCATGATAATATGTTCTGTGTCTGGGTGTAATTATCTATAATATGTATGTTTTACCGTTTAATTCTTATAAATTTTCCATCTTGATGCTAAAAATGTCTCACCCTACCTCCAATTAAATTAGTGGAACCAAAGTATAGTTGTCAAGATATAGGTGTTTATTAGACTCCTGCCTACCCCTGCGGGGATATGACGATAAGTATTTTTATGTATATAAAACAGAAAAGAGCTACTTACATGATGCGTAGGCGCAGAATGACAACAGTCCCGCTCCCGACCGCGAGGTACGTGGGCTCCTCCGTCCGACGCTCGCCGACCAAACGTTGACGCTGTATCAATAAACATTTATATTTAAATTAACTCCAATCGATTCCACTGATAGCGACTACCACGTACGTTAAAACAAAAACATATTTCAGCGCCATCTAACGAAGACACACCGAAGTAACTGCAATTCCTGTTTTTGAATTATAACCTGCGACTGCGACTTATAAATTTCGACTGTACGGATGGCGTAGTGGTTTATGGTGAGTGTTATGGGTTCAATCCCCACACGGGACGACACTTTGTGTGATCCACAAATTGTTGTTCGAGTCTGGTTGTTCTCCGTGTCCGTTATATCCATGTTTGTAAAGTCCCCCGCGACACTGGATATATTACTAATTCGGGCGTTGTCTTTTATATATAAAAAAAAACCTAAAATAATAATAAACGCCTTGACCATAGCCCTTAATTAATAGATTTAAATGATGATGATGAAACACATGCTAAGAAACTTCAAGGATATCGAATAAAACAAAACAGCCCAACACATACAGCAACCACCTATTACTACACAACCAAACCACACACCTCACTGTATTTACTAGTTTTAGCCCGTAAATACAGTTAAAACCAGCCTCGAACTGAGAAAAACAAACATAAAAATAATAATGAAGACATTTATTCCCAAAATAAAATCACAATCATAGTATCACAATAACAGTATAGAATCACAGTAATCATTATAATTATTAATATCTATATAAAACTTGACACAAACCCTATACCGACCCGTCTGGCCAGCGTGGTATAGTAGGCCAAAACCTCCTTTCTAAGGAGAGGCCTATGTCCAGCAGTGGACTATTATCTAAGGTTCAAAGGTATTTAATAAACCATCCAAAAAATCAATCCATTTAGTTTCAAAGTTTAGTCCATGTGGTGATGGATTAAGAATACGGATTGTCGCCACCCGAGCCGACTAAGGGAACAAAAAACGCAGGACAACAGCACTGCAAAGAGAAGGAAAACTTGAAACAAGCCCTATACCAACCCGTCTGGCCAACGTAGTTTAGTAGGCCAAAACCTCCTTTCTAAGGAGAGGCCTATCTATATCCAGCAGTGGACTATTAAAAGCTGTTGATGTGATGATGTGAAAGTTTCAAAATCGCCTCGAATAATACTTGATAATGAGCTATGATTATTTAAATAATTAGATTCTAGTTTTATAAAACCATGCTTACGATAAATTTTCAGAACGTTTTGTTTATGATATTAGTACAGGAGTGTTGTTACCAAATTGACCAGAGAAAATTACTCAGGTCAGAGATTGATACCTTACGGTTCAGCTGAAAAGGTTCATGATATAAATAGAAAACCTGTCAGGTTACATGTACAGTTCTTGGCAGTAATTCGAAGGAAAATCCCCCTTTGTGCTGGAGGGACATGATACCCGTCCCTCCACATGCTCATACCCCTCCATCCTCCGTATAATAAAGCTTATTGTGAAATCATTTTGATGGCACATAGCACGCACATACTTACCTTGGCTCTGCATAGCGTGCGGTGGCTTTAGGAGATGCTGATCCTTGACGCTGAAGTATCTCGGAGGCTGGTGCTGGACCGCGGGCAGCTTAGCCGCCAGGTTCGTGTTCGGTAGCATGGACACGTTAGGAGAGGTTTGTTGCTACGAATACAAAGATCTCTATTATTAACAGGCTCTCAAAATAATTTATTTATAGTTGTTTTTCAGGAGTCAGTGGTGATCGCCATGCTTCGGCTTAAATGAGCCGGCTTGTCAGGGTACCCCCAAACCACGGCCTCACAGGAACCGCTGTTGAGAATTCTTCCCTTTTTTTTTAACCCCTGACGCAAAATCGACGTCGTGTTATAAATTTGACGTGTCTGTGTGTGTGTCTGTCTGTGGGATCGTAGCTCTCGAACGTATGTTGTTTAATGAAAATTGGTCCAAGATGGCCGCCACCACAAAATGGCGGATCATATATTTTTTCATAACCCCCTCAATATGGGTATCAAATAAAAGGGCTTGTCTAGTAGAATACTATACACTGGGACAAATTTCAAATCCAAGATGTGTGTCTTGGGTTTTTTTATTTTTTAATTTATACCAGTCACCGAGTAAGTGTGGTAACTACAGTGCCAGATATTCTCGAGATGGCACATTCTGGCAAAGACTGACAACGCACATGTAGCTATTGAGTTGCAGGTGGAAATGAGCGGCGCCGGGGATTTTATTTCCACCCAGGACAAATAATTTTGTGATGAGCACGATCATTTGTTCTGTGTCTGGGTGTAATTTATTTATACAAATAAATTAAATTAAATTGTCTGTTTGTAATGTCCAAATATAAGGGTTTTTCATGTTTACGCAGTTATTTACACGATACCTATGCCTAAAAACCGATTTACAAGTTTTTGTCTGTCTGTTCCGGGTAATCTTCTGAACGGCTGGACCGATTTTGATAATATTTTACTACCAGGTAACTGTCTACATAAGGAATAACTCGGAATAGTTTTCCTCTCAGAAAAAACCCTTTAAAATTTTGCCCGGTCCGGGAATCGAACCCACTAAGTCAGCGCTTTTTAAATACCACGCGAACGAAGTCGCGGGTACCAGCTAGTCTTTAATATGTGTTTATTTTTTATGTTCAGCAGTCTGGTTACTATAGTACAAGCCCTGTCTAGTTTAGACTTACATTAAAGTGTGCTGACACATACAGTGGAGAGGGGCGGAGGTCAGCGGACACCGCCGCTCCACACACTCCCAACTCGCTGGCCTGGAACAAATAATACATTTTACAGTTTATGACTCTGTTCTAGAACAGTCGTGGGAGTCATGCGCTGGCTCGACTAGAGTAATACCAAGACAAGTCATGTTACCGGAACCCAATCCTCCTCCTCCTTGCTCGACGTGGGGGGAAGGTATGGGGAAAAGGTACAAGGGAGTTAGGAGCGAAGGTATGAGAGGGGCGTGGGTATGGGTGGAGGTGTGGGATGGGGGATGGTCATAGAGGCGGGCAACTCACTTGGAGCTCTTGAGTTGTGTCATTGACTTTCAGATGATCTATCCGAGGGTCTTTTATAAGTTTATTTCACTTCTACTCGCTCTCGACGTGATGATCGGGTCTTGAAGTAATTAAAAAAATATATATTTATTTAATTGTCTACTAACCTGTGTATGCCTGCAGTCTCCTGGCCCCACGGTGTGTCTCCTGGCGGCGTGGGTCTCCTGCGAGGTGGTCTGGATGGGCTGTGGGGGTGGCTCCTCGATCTGTGGCACCGATATGGAACCGAACTGTGAGGAACAAAACACAACAAAATTATTATCTGCTACACTTTTCACATCCAAATTATGTAAAGTTATCTTTTACCCGCGGGTTCGGCTCACGTAAAAAATATTTTATTATCTTAGTAGTAATCCAAGGCCTCACAGAAAACTCCTGTTTTTTTTTCTTTGCATTTGGTTAGCGAAAGCTCTAATCCCCCCCCCCCCCCATTCAAAGACCGTCAAAGTACTTATGACTCTCAAAGTGTAGTCCACAGGCAGTAGTAGTATCCTCCCTCTAATTGTGGGCAGGGAAGTAAGAAATAATGCCTAATATACAGTGGTGTCGGTAACGGTAACAGTATCGCGACTACAATAGTTTTATCCTATCTCAAAAAATGCCCAACGCGCCTGAAGAAGTTTTAACTTCAACATAGGTGGCGGTAACGGTAACAGTGTTGCGAGTTCAATCATTTTTCCCATAAAATACATTATTTTGTTTGTTGTTCAAAAAGACCCAACGCGCCTAAACAAGTTTTTACTTCAAAAACATTTACTTTGTGTTTATTCAGATGATACTTCCACTCACAGTACACACAAGACACAAGGGCTCAAAAAACTCAAAAGGAGGCAAGGAACTTCTGCCTCTTACTTGCAGTTCTCCATATGTGGTGGTAGTGCCTTACCATCTGATGACCCCTCTACTCGATTGTCCCTTACACAATAGAAAATGAAAGAACCCTAGAACAGAACCTAGTATATAATAATACCTTCTCAAGATTTTCAGGTTGGTCTGTTAAATAGTCGACGGGCTCGCACGGGACTATCACGAGGCAGTCCTGTGACGTGGATGTGTCTTCTGCGTCCATTTGTTCTTCTTCTACGTTCTAGAACAATTGAGAAGATGATTAATATAAATTTGGGTACAATAATTGCTTAATTTTTAACTACATTCGACATCAGTAAGGATGTTATGTATACATACACATACATTTTACATGAATTTTTGTTGATATTTGTTCATGTTTTTGAAAATTTGAACGTTTTGTTGTAAAAAGAATTTGAAAAAATGCAAATGTACGAATTAACGTTACTAGAATGTTATTTATTTGCTGTGGCCTGATACCCATAACACAAGTTAGATCTTACCATGGGTATCAGTGTTCCAAACCACTGTCCGTTTCTAAGTTTTTGTATAACTACTTTCATGTATGTATTTGTTGTAACTTTTGGATAATAAATATTTATTTTATTTTATTTATTTCTAGATCGATCGATCTGAATCGATCTTTTAGAAGATCATTTTGGCAATATGATCATCGATTTTGTCCAATTTGATTTTTCATTTTTTTTATCGATTATATCCTATACAATTACGGCCTAGATCGAATCTTTTCTCATATAATTGAATACAACACTCAGCGTAGTAGGAAGCGGCGTGGCGACCGCTTAAACCATTACGCCATCCTTGTAGTTAACTATTTAAGCAAGCAAAAGTTTTACTTTGTTATACCCTCATTTCGTCACAATCAACTTAAGTCCCCCCCTCCTCCCCCCCCCCTAAGATTCAGTTATAATTTCTCACCTTACAGTTTGTGAGATCAAGTGGCTGACCCGTTGTGGAATCCAGGGAGTCTGAAAACGAATATTATAAGTTAAATTATTAAAGATTAAATGGTGGGGACACACTGTTAGCCAAAGATTTTTTTTTGTGATCATGTAGCACTACAGCACTGTAGAGAGAAGGAAAACTGGAAACAAACCCTATACCAACCCGTCTGGCCAGCGTGGTATAGTAGGCCAAAACCTACATTATGAGGAGAGGCTTATGTCCAGCAGTGGACTATTAAAGGCTGTTGATGTGATGTAGCACTTTTAAAGAAAATAAATGTGAGTGACTATGAAGCCTTATCTTACAAGGGGGTCCATTCTCATGCAGTGAGTGAGGTTCCTGGAGTCCAAACTCTTCTGCCTACCCACCCCCTCTTCCTACTTTGGAGGGATGGGGACCAGTCTGCTGGTTTGCCTCCTATATTTCATGTATAAGTTACCTTACCTCTATGTTGGAGACTATTCCTGGCGTTGGACCTCTGCTGTAACTTCTCCATCAGCAGGTGATATATTGCCGATATGTGGTCAAAACGGTCCTCTTGGATGGCCTGTAAACAAATATTTCATGACACTAGTGTTACACAACTAATCGAAATTCAATAAATATAAAATATTAGAAATAATCTGTTTCTAATATTTAAATTAAATATTAGAAATAGATTTTGATAAAGTAAAATAAGGGGTTAAAAAAAGGGAGGAAAATTCATGTGGGAGAGATTCTTGAGAGCGACCAAGTGATGGACGCTCAACTAGCTAGGAGGGAGGAAATGGGGTACCTGTTCGATGTGGTGGTGGGTGAGTCCGGGGAGTGTGAGCATGTGCGCGATGACGGTGTCGCGCGCGCCCTCCGCGTCCAGCTCGCGCGCGCTGTGGCACGCGCACGCGCCCGTCGACAGCTCTACGGGAAATACGTTCTGAACATAACATGGGAACTACCGATACTTTGCGAAAGAATGTTTGTGGCAAATAATTTGTCAGCAAATAGTTTGTCGCAGAATATTTGTGGCCAATAATTTGTTGTAAATTATTTGCCACAAATAGTTTTTTTATGTTATATATTAGCAATGTACTTAACACGTTACTGATAATTTATTCAATCAATTAGTAATATACTAAAATGAACATTACACTTACATCCGAGGAGTTGCAGATTAGCCTAACAATTCAATAAAAGAAAATATTTTAACGTATTAATATTATTGGTATGAAATAAACTCTAGTACAATTGTTATAGTGATCACCTCGCAATTACGACTCCCCGAATGTTTGGAGTTCGAAACTAGTCCGAACAGAGAGCATTTGATGCTCTTTTTGTGTCTGTAATTTAAATTTTCGTACAAAACCAATAGAAAAACAATCAAGGTGCGTACATACCGCAGGGCCCGGGACCAGGGCCAGGCTGGTGGGCGCCGAGCCAGCGATGTCGCGCCACCCCGCGCAGGGACAGCCGCTTCTCCGGCTCCACCACCAACATGTGGCGGATCAGGTGCTCGCACTCTGCCAAATATAACAATATTATCATTAAACTAGCTTGTTTGCGACTTAGACGGGCCTGTTTGTCTAGTGGTTAGTGACCCTGACTGCTAAGCCGGAGGTCGTGGGTTTGATTCCCACCCAGAACAAATAATTGTGTAATGAGCACGATAATTTGTTCTATGCCTGAGTGTAATTTATCTATAATGTGTATGTATTTAGAAATACATAAGTATATTTATCAGCAGTCTGGTTACCGTAGTACAGACTCTGACTAGTTTGAGATCAGACGGCCGTGTGTGAGATGGGTCTGCTTATCATAAGTAGCCTGTAAGCCGTGAGTAAGTTAAACTTACTCATAGCTTAAAGACTACTTATGCCTACTTATATGTATTCGTGTATATGTAATGTAATATTAGTTAATATACATAACTCACAAATGCCTATCGAATGATTGCCTGCGATAAGGCCGCTTTTTGTATCACTGTTTTTTTTTGTTTGTATTCTACATTGTATGTTTCTTAATCATGATGTGCAATAAAGAATACTTATTTAAGTTAAACTCACCTTGCGACATAAAATACGGTATCCTAAACTTCCCACTGAGCACCACGCTCCTCAGCTCGTGTAGGGTACTGCCGTCAAACGGCAGCGCACCACACACCAGTACATAAAGTACAACTCCTAACGACTGTGAACAAATATATAGTTTAGAAAATTAAATAAAAACGAACAAAATAAATAGTAAAAAAGTAGTGGGCAAGTGCACCTCCTCGTAAAATGGGGGAGGGGGAAGAACTGAGTACACAGGTTTCTTGTGAGGCCGTAGTATCACACCGGTAGAGACGGCCCATTTGAGCTAAAGCATAGCTCTCCCACGGTTAGAAATATCGTAGGACCATTGTTAATAAGCCTTATCGACTAAATCACATAAGCTCAAAAGTTCGTGTGGTGACGGATTAAGAATACAGAGTGCCACCACCCCTATTCATCCCGTGGGTGTCGTAAGAGCCGACTAAGGGAAAAAACTACGCAGAACAACAGCACTCCAGAGAGAAGGAAAACCTGTCTGGCATGGTATAGTAGGCCAAGGCCTCCTTTCTGGGGAGAAGCTTATGTCCAGCAGTGGACTGTTAACGGCTGATGATGAAGACCAAAACCGAGAAGTGTACAAAGAGCTACTGAAGAGACAGAACTCTCACAACGCCATCTAGTTTCAAACTAAGCAGAGCTTGTCCTATTTCTTCTTTTTTCTTTTCTTAGAAAAGACAACTCCCGCAGTAGGAATATATATCCTGTATCGCCGGGGACTTTACAAACATACATGAAACGGACACTAAGAACACCAAGACTCAGAGCAACAATTTATGAATTACACAGAGTGTTCTCCCGTGTGGGGATCGGACCCACAACACTCAGCGCATTAGGTAGCGGAGAGGTGACCGCTTAAGCTACTACGCATTCTGTTCACTATGAAAACTAGATTAACTAATATTATAACTAATACTTAAATACTTTTTTTTTCTAAATGCATGCATAAAAAAACACGCAACAAATTTTTGCAGATCCTACAAACATTTGGTCCCACCCAGGAATTGAACCCGAGCCCTCAGCACAACAGTCTCATACACTACCACTGCGCCACCGAAGCAGTCGAATAGAATTATTTTATATTATTGTCCTCAAAACTGACTGGCTAGTGGTAAGTATCCTAACTGCTAAACCCGACGTCGTGGGTTCGATTCCTACCCAGGACAATAATTGTGTAATGAGCACGATCATTTGTTCTGTGTGTGGGTGTATTTTATCTATAATATGCACTTAAAACATTAAGTATGTTTATCAGCAGTCTGGTTAAAGCACAGGGTCTGCCTAATGGACCTATCGGGACCAGACAGCCGTGTGTGATATGTGTCACGTTATAAATATTTTTATTTAGATTATAAGTTTAATACATGTAATCTTAGTATAGTTCCATTTTAGATAGAATTTAAAGTTTGATAATTATGAGCATGTTACGATACTTCATTCAGATAAGGCGATAAGGTACTTATTAATTAAATAATCGCTAAATTCGATTTTTGTTTCCATATGTTTATTACTGAAATATTATCAAGAGGCGAGACAATCATCATCAGTAGAAGTTGCATGTACAAAGTGAACAGGGCCTCAATTCTGCTATTACGCCAAGCTAGTGTCATCAAGTATTGAGATGCCATCGAGTGGCCATTGGCATCGGTATAAATATCGGTGGTTGAAAATATATTACGTTTTTTGAGGAAATGATTTATTTGTTTTTATTATAATAAATTATTAAAAGAAATAAATAAATTAAAATAAATTATTAAAGAATAAAATATAAAAATTATAAAAAAAGAAATAAATAAATAATTATGACACTGGCTTGGCGTAAACATAAAATAGCAGAATTGAGGCCCAGAAGTCAAGTCAAGAAAATAATAACTAGTTGTCAAAGAATCGCCAATGAAATGGTACATTGAGAACCTATGAGACGCCAACGGCTCGTCAAGTGACTTTTTAGAAAAAAAAATAAGACAACTCCCGACTAGGAATATATCCTGTGCACAGAGGACTTTACAACCATACATGTAACGGACATAAAGACCACCCAGTACCACCCTGTATTTGTATTTTGTAAACCTAATCATCATGAACCAGTCACGGGTCAATATACGACAAAGCGCGAGTTTTGAATAAGTTAAATATTAAATAAACGTGAAATAATAACAGGCAGCAAGCACACAGACATAGACATTTTAAGAGTAATTTGTTTTTCTCGTGATTCTCTGTATGAGCACACATTTTCAAATAAATGAGACGAGATAATGAGATAAAAACAACGTACTATAAGCGGCAATTTTTTTGCCGCAGAAAGTTAGCCTACAACGGTTTGCTACGTACAGTTCGCTAATTAAACGCTCCTTACCCAAATATCTGCTTTCGGTCCATCGTACTGTCTTCCTTCGAAGAGTTCTGGTGCTGCGTATGGTGGGCTCCCACACCAGGTAGCTAGCGGTGAGCCCGCTGTATACTCATTACTGAAGCCGAAGTCTGCTAGCTGAAAGACGAAAGACCCTGGTTAATTACGAAATGCTGTTAAGCTTTTGATTGAAAGATATGCGACCCTGACTTGTTCAAGGTGTTGTTTAAACTACTCAATCCATCAAAGCAATATCCCATAAGTACCATTAGGTACCTTCCCTTTCATCACACTTTAAATTAGCTCATTCCCATTTAAAGTGCTCTTTTGACAGCACTAGACCCCTATTATCCCTACCCCTTAATTGCTGTTTTCTCGATGTTCCTTTCTCTCTCTCTATATATACACGGTGATTTTGAAAGCGTTTTGGAAAAGAAAATTTTGAGTTATTTATCAGTAACAGAAGCTATATATAACGTTAATTTAATAAAATATATTTTTTTTTATCATCAAAGTCGATATTCATATCGTTTACAGAGAAAAAGTCAGAACCAGTAGTAGTAGGCTATTCAATCACACGTAGGTAAATACTACGAATAGAAATACTATGCGTGTCACATCAAATCGTTTTCGCCAATAAAAACAAAGCTACCGAGTTGCGCCGGAGTCGTCCAACCAATGACGTCTGCCCCGTAGGCGCATGCGCGGGGCTCACCTGTCATCGTCAGTCGGTCAGTAATACCATAACATCGTGACGGCACGCTGCATTGATTAGCGCTAAAATGAGTCGACAGTACGAATTTTCAAACGTGGAATACTTCTTGGCAATGGTACAGCTGTACGCTACTGCCAACTACAACTTGGAAGAGGCTCGGCGTTTGTATTCCCAAGCCGGAGCATTTAAATGCACTACGGCTACGTGGAATTGAAAGCCCTCAAATTCCCTCCACACCTACTATCTTGGCTGCAACCCAACGTCTTCTCTACCACGGACAATTTCGTGCGCCTACTCATACGCAAGGTCAAGGACGTTTTAATTATTATTCGCCGGAGTGTAGTGCGTGCATACCTGGACAATGAGCTTAGTGATCGGACTTAACGCCCCTGGATTTTTTCTTATGGTCGGAAATAAAAAGACTTGTTAATACACGGGAATATGAAAGCCGTGATAATTTACGCATTGCGATAGTGGACGCTTTAAAGTGAAAAGTGATAGAGACACATTAAGAAAATTAAAAAACAATTGCATTAAACGTGGACGTTTGTGTATTGAATGCAGCGGACTCCATTTTGAGCAGTTCCTTCGATACAGAGAACTGTAAATAGTGTAAATAGGTATGTAAGTTAATTATTCTGTAGATAGCTCCGATTTTTTAAATACGCCTGAAATATTTATACCTACAGTCCGTTGATAAATTGATTTGTTGTGAAAAGAACAATCGTGGTTAATAATCGAAAAGAAGTTTAAATAAAATAGGTATTTCTGACGGTCCTAAGCCCGTGTAAAGTATGAAGGACAAATTGGAGTCTATCTACGTAAGTACTCGCTAGCTCGCGCCTATAGGTATAGTTTTGTCAGCTGCTGTTAGCGTCGGCGGTGCGCAGCGGCCGCCGAAACGCCCACGGACGTGTTTCATTCATATAAGATAATGAATGAACGATCAGTCCATTACTACTTTCCAAGTCGATCGAGTAAAAATGAATATTAAAACTGAAACTTTTTTTTAGACAACATTACAATTGATTTAATCATTTTTATTGGTACTATAGATGATTCCAAATTCAAATATTTCGTTTCCAAAACGCTTTCAAAATCACCGTGTATATATATATATATATATATGTCGCAATTACGTAATATCCGAAACGCCAGCGCCACCTGTCGGCGCTTGATGGAGTCAATGTTTAAAGGCCGAACGGCTCACATGAACACTTGTTGTGTGGCAGTCGGACAGAGCGGTCGCATATTGAAACCGTCACGCGTTCCTGGCGATATACGTTTAGCTATAGTCGTGTGTCTATTTGTAATAATCTACATTGTAAAATCATTGGACATTTTAATCAAGTGAACTAAATTGTTTCGTTGCGCCAACATTACCCATCGACGCCCGCAGTTAGTAAGTGAGGAACTATGGGCCCTATTGAGGATAATGATCGTACTACCCCGTCATATATATATTTATATATATTTACTCATGAAAGTTGCTGAATATTTCAGTGGACTTAGATAATTTTTTTTTAGAAATATACAAATTGGTCCATGTAGTGTCATACTCAAACTATGGGGCTTTCTTCTCGTTGCAGGCACAGACATGCCTCATCCCCTAATCTGTAAGATATAGGATTTCACAAGACGTAGAGCTGACGGCGTTGCAAGCAATTTGTGTGGGAACAGATATTTTAATTATAGTTCGGAGACTGCAGCCCAACGGTTATTACACTAATCGCCACCAGAATTTGAATTACGCGATACAGGATCAGTATTTACAAGTAGTTCGGGAGGATATCACTAGATGGCGGTAAAATAAATTTTATATCTAACGGCTAACATTAATTGCCACACTTACTTTAATATTCATATTCTTGTCCAGCAGCAAGTTTTCAGCCTTCAGATCCCGGTGTACCACCCCATTAGAGTGGCAGTAGCCCACCGCTGCCACCATTTGTGCAAACGCCCGCGCCGCTTCGACTTCTGTCATCCGACCGCGTGTTACGAGGTGATCTAAGAACAAGTGTATTTTTATTACCTTATAGTATTAAGATGTCACTAATAGATTTACACATGAAATTACTTGTCCTGACTTTTGGACTTTTACTCACAACGCCATCTAGTTTCAAACTCAGCACAACTTGTACTATGAAAGCTAGATTTAATGATACAATACTTTTTCTTCTAAATACATACAAATTATACATAGGAAACACGTAAACTCCAAAATAAATATTCGCAGATCATACAAACACTTGGTCCGAACCCGGAATCGAACCCGAGACCTCATCACATCAGTCGCATACACTACCACTGCACCATCGAGGCAGTCAAATACAAATGCCTGATGCTTTTTATATTGTAAATTGCCAAAAAACATTTCTTAGTACACTTTCTTAGGATCTAGTTGTAGAAATTTTACCACTATAGGACAAAAATAAGTGATGAACGGTTGTATGAAGGTTGGTCACTTTCACAGGTAGGAACACGAAACCAGGGCCTCAATTCTGCTATTTTAATATTGTATTAATAGACTGTCGATGGAATATCGTAGGAATAGTTTTGCACTTTTGTAGACTAGATAATATATGTTTGGCAGCCGACGGGCCTGTTGGTTGGACTCTTACTGCTAAGCTGAATGTCTAGGGTTCGATTCCCTCCCAGGACAAACATTTGTGTGATGAGCACGTTCATTTGTTATGTGTCTGGCTGTAGTTTATCTATAATATGTATGTATTTAGATATATATTAGTATGTTTATCTGCAGTCTGGTTACCATAGTACAGGCTCTGCCTAGTTCAGGATCAAATAGCCGTGTTGTAGATGTGTGAGGTTATTATTATATAGTTCTTAAGTTTGAAGCCACAGATCATAAAGATCATAATCAAGAATAACATTCCTTTAGATAAAACCATAACCAACTCACCAAATATTTCTCCATTAGGCGCATATTCTGTAACTAGATATATTGTGTGACTACTCTCCATAACCTGAAAACAAATTATTTACACTATTACAAAAATCATCCATACATCCGTGTGATGACGGATTAAGAATACGGAGTGACACCACCCCTGTTCATCCCGTGTTTGTCGTAAGAGCCGACTAAGGGAGCAAACTAGACAGGACAACAGCACTGCAAAGAGAAGGAGAACTTGACACAAACTCTGTAGGTACCAACCCGTCTGGCTAGCGTGGTATAGTAGGCTAAAACCTCCATTATAAGGAGAGGCCTCTTTCCAGCAGTGGAATATTAAAGGCTGTTGATTGATGATTACAAAAATGGTCCTTCGAGCCGGTACTTTGATGGAGGAACTACATTAAATGTAAGGAGGATCCACGCTTTGTCAAAATTTGCATTCAGATTACTGCTTGTGACATAAAACCACCTATTATATTTTTATTGATTTCCCGATCTTCTTGACATTCTAGACTCCGAATTGTTTCTGTTACTTTCTCAAACTCAAGTCACGCGACAGACAAAGCATTATTTTATCGAGTTGCCAACATGGCTGCCAATGTCACAGAGTTTTCACGGACAACAGATAGTAATGCGGGCTGTTATGAACAGAGAAAATCGTCTACATAAGTTTTACTACGCAATACAAATTGCTCGTAGCTTCTTTCATTTTAAAACTAAACGTTTCCATAAAACAAATAGCCATAATTAAAAAGGAAAAACGTTCGCATCTGACTCGTGTTTTAATGACGTCACTAACCGATAAATTGACTCCTTGATTCCAAAGAGTATGGAGTAGAAAAAGTTTCCGAACTGATAGCAATCGACTTGTTTACAGGTTAAATCTGTATATATCCTTTTTCTTTTTATATAATACTAGCTGACTCGTCTGGGTCTTTTAAAAGGAATAAATTTGCCCAGGTTTTGCAACATTCTTCATTGGTGCCCCGCTCCTATTGGTCTTAGCGTGATAATATATAGCCTATAGCCTTCCTCGATAAATGGGCTATCTAACATCATCATCAACAGCTTATACTAGTCCACTGCTGGACATAGGCCTCTCCTTAGAAAGGAGGTTTTGACTTACTATACCACGCTGGCCAGACGGGTTGGTATAGGGTTTTAGTCGGTCCGAGTCCGACACACCACCCCGCCGCAAACCCCGGAGGGGTGACGGTCCGAGGGGATTTCCACACGTTAAAAAAAAAAAAAAAAAAGAAGGGTTTTTGTCAAGTTTTCCTTCTCTTTGCAGTGCTGTTGTTGTTGTCCTGCTTAGTTTGCTCCCTGTCTAACACTGAAAGAATTTTTCCAATCGGACCAGTAGTACCCGGGATTAGCGCGTTCAAACAAACTCTACAGCTTTATAATATTAGTATAGATAATCCTTTTTCTACCATCAGGTATCTTCCCTTCTTCCAGGAGGAAAAATTAAGGGAAGGTAGGTTTAGAAATTGCCTTTAATTGTGTAATTACAAATTAATTGTAGAGTGGCGGACCTAACGCCACAGGCGTTTTTTCCCAGTCAACCTTTGGGTGGTGGGGAAATGTCTGAGTAGGTGCTTCAGAAATTAAGTTTTTTTTTGTTTGTAACAGTGGGACATATGTGTGATAGTGATAGTGGGATATACATACATACATATTGAAATACACATATACTTGCTGAGTTACATACATATGTAAATACACCAATCTTATATTTAAAATTCTCATGTCACAATGTTAGTTACCATACCCCTCCGAAACGGCTGGACCGATTTTTATGAAATTTTGTGTGCACATCGGTTAGGTCTGAGAATCGGCCAACATCTATTTTTTATACCCCTAAATGACAAGTGTGACCACCCCTAATTTTTTTTTTCAATATTTCCTAGAAATAATGTATATGGCAAAACAACGTTTGCCGGGTCAGATAGATATATACCAACTTTACGGATGATATGCATCTGCCAGAGTGTCTAAAATGAGGCTGGGTGTTGTCCTGATTTTCTCATTCCCATATATTCTAAAGTACCTTCTAAAGCCTATTGAGTACAGTGAAATTAGTCTCGAGAAATTTTTGCATATGTAGTGGTGTGTATATTACTCAGATCTTAGAGCGCGTTTCCACTATATCGTTCTGGCCTATACAAAAATGTTTCGATATCCTAACATTACTATTTAATTTTATACTTATCCCTAGCAACACTCTGATTTTTGTTTTCAATAAAAACAAGTTTTTATTTTAAAGAAAACGGTTTTGACTTTTAAAAAAAAAAAGGTGTGTGTGCGATTCACACACGATAGAAGTGAAACTTCAAAGAGGAGAGACCGATATTTAAATTCTTTTTTTTTTTCCTTTCATCTAGGTTTTTAAAACTCCGGGGGGTCTACGGGGGGGGGGTCAAAATTTTTGTTATTTTTGGCCTAGGACGCACCGTTTCCGAGATATTTCAATCTAAAGCAAAAAATCGTCACTTGATAGTGGAAAGTGGAAACACGCACAAAACCAGAATAAACCAGTTTACGCTGTCCGCTACCATACACTACTACAAACGCAAACATTTCTCCAAGCTAATTTACCTGTAAATGGGATTAAAATTGGAAAACGTGCGCGTTTAATACGCCTTTGTCTACCCCTTTGTTTGTAGAAGTGTGTATGTACTGAATTGAAAAAAAAATATACGATGGCGCTCTGTGCCTCGGCGAGCACGTAAGCCGTCGGTCCTGGATGCCATACGAACATATGTGGCAATCTTTACGGGTAGCTGGATCCCTAAAAAGTCCAGGAACAGTCTTTCTGCAGTCGATATCGCCTAGTACGTTGGTTGTAGATGGCAGTCGCTCCACGTAAAAAGTCCAGTAGACTAAAACCCGACTCCAACCTACTTTCGGGTAAAGGCTCTGAGAATGAGTTAAATTACACATACCTGATACAATCTAACAATGTGGGGATGTCGAAGTTTCTTCATTATGGTTATTTCTCTAAAGGTTTTCTTTAAATTGTCTTCATCCAAACGTGATTTGTCGATAATTTTTATTGCAACCTGTAAAGAAAATAAAGTTAATATAATATTTATTTAGATATGTTTCAATAGAGCAGACGGTTCACTAGATGGTCACAGACTATTAGTGCCCTCTTGACCATCTCAAGTCCCAAGTCTTTGAGATGAAAGTACGCTCTTTCTTCGAAGATTTAAAGGTAGTATCGGTCCGGAAGAAATACCGCGGGCGACAATGAGTCCCCTCCCATACGTCTGAGTTCGTTGGCTCATCCATTATGATCAGTCCGTTCCTCTTTGGAATGCGCTGCCGCTCGAAATCAGGATGGCCACCAACACTTTTTCTTTTAAGGCGCTCTTGCAGCGCGGTGTGTAGGTGTGCAAACATTACCTCACCCCCCGCTAACGTATCGTACGCAAAGACGCAGCGTGTCAAAAAGCTGCGCGAGTCGGCTGCGCGTCACTCAAAGTTACGTCCAGATATTGTGCCACAGTGTAGCGTAATGCAGTAGTTAGAAAAGAATATCATGTTTGAGGTATATAATTCTAATTAGCTTTTGCACTTTTAAATTTTGTTATTCACCTGTGTGTTAGCTTTCTACTAAAATAGGTATACACGAAATTAAAAAAATATTGGAATTAAAGGACCGTTTAAACAGGCGAACTAAGCTTTATTAGTTATTTGTTATAGTATATTAGGTCATTACTTCCTACATATATAATTTGTTTACTCAAAATCTCATAAACAATAGATTTTTTTAATACCTTATTCTACAAATTTCTCTTACTTCATGAGTTTATCAGCAGATTGGGTACCATAATACAGGCTTTAATTAATACCAATAATACACACAACATAAGTTGAAAAATTCACATAACTTTAATAAAAGATGATGATTGAGGCGGAGGTTTTATTCTAAACTTTCTTAAGCTTTATATCAATCATGTCAAAGCGCAATAGGCAAGCGGTCTTTCCTATTCGCACAGCATAGTTAGCTTACAATAGTGCGTTCCGTTACAGTTACAGAAGTCCGTTACAGAAGAGACCTTATTTACCAACACACATATATTGGTTCTATCAATTTCATATATATAATAATTGATATTTCGCTTTCTATTTCAAAGATAATTTCAAAAATTAGTGTACTGTATAATATTAGTGTCAGATACACTCGGAATTGAAGCGTATGTTAAAGAGCCTGATAATGCTTCATTTTCTTTTCCTGAGGTTAAAAATATGTTTCGGATTGGCATGCCACTCGTTTCATTTTATGATTCCCACAAACCAAAAAGACATTTTTAATGGCCTGTGACATGTAACTGAACTTGAATTTGATGAAACCAGTTATCGATTATTTTTTTGTAGGGCTAGCTGCAATCATTCTTTGGCAGCAACTAATGAGCATTTCACTTCAACCAACATATCATTCCCAATCAAGCCATCAGGTGTAGCGCCAATAAATGAGTACTGCTTATCAACAAAAAGTTCACAAGCTTAAATTTTCAATTGGTTTTCTTGCTGAATTTGTTGTATGGCTTGCTTTTCATTTTCAATCCCATGAGCTACCGAGGTCACTTGCGACAAATTATTTTTGTACAAAATATTTTTTACCAAAGACGATGTACCCGTAGAGGGTTACCTCTTGCAAATATTTTTTAAATTCGAAGCTGTTATTTTTTTTTATTTCAAGCCACTCACTCGAGTCCCTTTGTACGACGGTCGATCTTTCAATATGATCTCTGTCTGCTATAAGATTTATTAAATTGTTTAAATAACTAGCTTTTCCTCGCTCCAAATCAAACATTGACATATCTGGTGCCGACCTAGCTTGACCATAGTCGTGCTATAGGTCGTTATTAGCTTTTTGAAATCAACGTATCTTTTTTAATTGATGTTCCAAATCGAATTTACGTTTATGGGTCCTTTTTTCCACATACTTCAAAACTCTGCTTGAAGGACTTCTATTTAACATTGTGTTTTTGCTCAGCTGAAATGGCGGAATTCCTGATAAAAGATACCACTGCTGCTGCACATCTTCCTTAGTACCCGCGTCTGAGAGCAAAATTAATTCTTTTCCCACCCACAAATTTAGCTATAACATTATTAAATCTTTCGACCGTGTTGATATCAACATTTTCAATCAAACTTCTTGATTTCCTAGCCACAGTTGCAACAATGGCATTCAGTATAAATAATAATGTACTCGTACTATTCCGTATTTGCCTAATGTCACCTTTTACTCCATCATGCTCACAGTCGTAATCATGCCACATTCTATGATCTCCGTAAGCGTGTTCAACTGAATATGTTATATCTTTATGAGGTACCGAGACTGCATCGTTTTTCGGAACATCAGACTGGTGGTGATATTTTTTCGACCGAATAATTAATTTTCTCGTAGCCATTATTTATTGGTTCGTTAAAGTTTTTCTATGCAACTAGAAAAATTTTGTCTCTTTGGCAAGGTTCCGCTTCTTTTTACAAAAATTTCGTAAAATATGATTGGGAAATTCTATTTTGTCAACAGTCAAATTCAGTGTTTTTCCTTGTGTCCTTTAAATTTTAGCATATTTGGAACAGTCACCATCTGCTATAAGTCTTTGGTATATTACTCCGTACATAGAAATAGATGTTTTAAAACCCTCCGCAATTATATCTGCTTCCATAGAGGGAGATGACCATCAAAGTTTTTGTAGCATTAATGTTCTGGAGGCGTTATGTTATTTTTACTAGACTGGCTACAAACCAAACAGTATTTATTTTTTACACCCATGTACAAGACCGCACCTGTTTTTCTGCCAATAATAGCAGCAGCGCCAGAAAGGGCCTTAAAGTTGGTGCCTTAAGAGCGCGCACTCCATGTTCCATCGGCATACACATCGTCACTGGATATCCACCTTTAGTTAGACTTTCGGATAAGGCTATTTCTCTCTCCTTATCAATAGATAGCAGTAATACTGCTTGCATAGTATCAGCTGCTGTCAGTTCCCAATGTTCATATACCTTGTTTTGCAATTGTCCGTATGTATCTATCGAAAAGACGTGTATGTCTATTGCAGAAAATAATTCTTCAAACTGCTCGATGCCTACTGCCACGATTCCAGTTGTAGCCGCTAAGTTTATGCCCAAAGACTTTTCCTCTTTCACATCATCATTATTTTCTGAAGAAATCGTTACGATTTCTTGACATTGGTCGACGATTGGTCGATGAAGGACCTCATGAAAGGTAACCTTCCCTTATGTCATAAGCGTAAGCTCATGGACATGTGCATCCTCCCCATTATCACATATGGTGCACAAACTTGGTCTTTGACTGGACAGCAGAGGTTCGCGCTGAAGGTTTGCCTGCGAGCCATGGAGCGTAGTATTCTGGGGTACGCCCAGAATACAGAAGCTTACAGACCGAATAAGAAATACAGCACTACACTCCAAAACACAAATAGCACATGTCACTCATAAAGCCGCTGCACTCAAATATGACTGGGCCAGAAACGTTTGCCGCATGCCGACAGATCTATGGGCAAAAATTAGCACCACTTGGGTCCCACAAGGCGCTAAACGACAACGTAGTAGGCCCAGGCGACGATGGCGGGACGATCTCGACGGTTTCCAAAAAGACTGGTCCGAACTAGCATACGACAGAGACATGTGGAAGGGAGAGAGGGAGGCCTTTGCCCTGCAGTGGGACAATACAGGCTAAAAATAAATAAATAAAATAATAGATAGGTACGTGTTGAATTGCCGTCCTAAGTGTTTATATGCAGGATGAAATTGGGTCATGTCGTGACTTTGTTACTGTACAGAGGCATTTTACTCCTACTTTTAAGATTTTTTTCTTAGAAATAGGACTTAACAATTAAAACCTTTCCAAACAAACTTGATCAAAAGAGAACTCACTAAACAAGATTCTCAGATGTACTGGGTATTTCAAGAGAATCTTGAATATCTGGGACAAAGTTTTGCAATGTCGCATATTGAATGTTTTCTTGTTCACTCAAAATAGTGTCATTGTTTAGTTTTCACACGACAAAACTAAAAAAAAACAGTTATTCCATTTATATAAACACATAAACTAACGTAGTATTATGATCAATAGAAATTGATTTCTATAGGGTCTCAACTACGCCTGTGAATATGCTTTATCTCATCGAAGTGCTGCAAAATAACAATAAATAAACTTATATTACTGTTGAATTCCACATAATTAAAATGTGCCTGACTATACCAAAATTAGAGATTTCTAGTAACATTTTCTGATTACCTTCTTTCTATACTACCAATGAATACTGTTTATTTACCGTACTCACATGCATACTGATTTTTTTAGACTGTGGCGCAGTGAAACTGATGTGTTTGTAAAATTTTCTATTTTTGTGTTTCATAAAAATTGTCGACGTAAATAATTTACCATAAAACCAATAAATATTTAGGTAGAGGTTGTTTAATTATTTATATAAATAATTATTTCTTAGTAAATTTATAATCTAGTGTTACAAAGACGCGTTAAAAACATTAAAACAATTTGATAACTGTAAGTAATGTAGTGAAAATTACTACTAATAAATAAAAATAAATGAAGACGTTACTCGACATTTTGCAATAACTTATAAGTATTCTGTTGAAGCTTTGTGAAAACGAATTTTAGTATTTACGCGGGGGAATTTCACAGAGCAAAATGACGTGCGTCCGACCTCAAACAAGGCTCAGCGAGCTCTGACAGGCGAACTTCGCCGCCGTAAGCAAGCGCAAAAACATATTTTTTGGTTCTTTTTTTTATAAGTACAACTATGTGAAAATGTATCCTTACAAATCCCTAAAAAAAAATAAGCTCTATTTTTTGGTATAATTTTTACGTGAATCCATGGTGGCATTTTACAACAATTTCTATTTGAAATCGTGAGTTAGTGCTATGTTTGTGATTTTTTTTTATCGAACCAAATTCCATAAATCATGTTTCCATCCTTACAGATCTTTATATTATATGTTTAATTTTTATAAAATATTTATTTTTATGCACAATAAATGCATATTAGGGTATTTATTT